CAATTCCCCAATAAAAATCTTTAAAAAAAAAAAAAATTCTGATCTTGAGTGAAGTGTGCCCACCTAAATAATCAATGTAAGATATTTACTATACTCAGGCATACAAGAAGGGCATAGCTTATAATGTAACTGCTTCAACAATTTTCCCCCAAGTATCTTCCAATTGCAGGGGTATCTTTCTTTCAGAAAGAAACATTAAAGTGAAAAGTGGTTGTGATTACTGTGCTCTGAACTGCTGCTCCATGGGCATGGCCAGCCGGGTCAGCGGAGCACCTTCCATCAGCTCACTCAGTTGTTATAGCAAGACAGAGCACCCTGACAGCATAGGAACCTAGGTACCTAAAGTTACTAGGGAAATTCATACTCTACCTGCAACATCTGTGGCCACCAGGACTGGGATATCCTTTTTCTTGAAGTCTGAAATGACCTTGTTTCTTTCACTCTGATCCATGTCCCCATGAAGCAGCCCAAGATTATGATCTTCTTGCTTGAGGTTATTGGCCAGCTCTTCTGCATTGGCTTTTTTAGTAACAAACAGGAGGACACTCCCTGAAGAAGTAAACTCTACCAGACGCCGGGTAAGCCAGTTCCATTTACTAGGCCCAGAATGGAGAATCTCCACAATCTGTGTCACGTCTTCATTTGCCTGAAAAGGAAGAAACAAAACAGAGGATTGCAACCCTTGTGCCACAGGGCAGCTGACCAAGAACGAGGCATCACGTTTCCTACCTCAATCTAGAAGAACCCTGAACAATCCCTCTTCTCCTTGGGCCAGCCTTCAGCAAGTCAAAAGCAGCTCAAAACTTAATGTCCTTTCTCAAATCTCTGAGCTCTCCCCATCTCCCGATGTGTACATATACCAACTAATTTGTAAGCCCCAATACTTTGCAATACTTTTTATATGCTAATCCAGATTATTCCTAATAAATGAAGCTCCTTTTCTGTCCCTGCCACTCACTGTTCCTAGTATAATTCATACACGCACACAGAAGGCACTCAAAAATGAAAACCGGACAATATCAAAACACTAACTGAACAGAACTTTCTATAATAAACATGGCAAGAAACGTAAGGAATTCTCGAGGCAGCCTTAATTGAATTCCAAATCACAATTGGGAGAAATTTTCCACATAGGGCATATGTACAGGTGAGGAAAAATCCCTTACCTCATTTTCACCGGGCTTTCAAGTCCCCCCACTTCACGCTGCGTGGGCCTGCTCCCACAATTATTTAAATGTTAGTTCCATCCTAACTCACTCTGGTAGTCTTCTAGCTTGCTTTTTAATTTTCCCCATAGTTTTTGTGTTTTAATTTTTTATTATGAAAAAATTTAAATATAAAAAAATAAGTGAAATTAACACTATCAACTCCCATGTGCCCGTGACCTAGCTTCAACAATTACCAACACTTTACCAATCTTTTTCATCTATTCCCCCTTGTTTTTTAAAGCAAACTTGAAGTATGTTGCCTCATCTGTAAGATTTTTTTTTCTTTTAGTGAGAAATTAATTCCATGTCTCCATAATATGAGAAATAACATGTTGGGCTCCAGGGTTACCTCTCCAATATCTCCCTGCACCACTCGAATAGGGTCGATCAGGATATCTCTGGCCAGTTTTTCAATCTTTTTCCGAAAAGTTGCACTGAATAAGAGAGCTAAAAAGTAAAGTAAATTCTGTTAAAGAAACAGTATGACTTCTTTTCTGAATACCCATTAAGTTTCCTACTGACAGTCAAAATATTGTTTTTCAAAATAAACCTGAACTTTAAATTTAGTAAAAAAAAAAAAAAAAGATTCACTAAGGAAAAAAAGATTTGTTCTTATTCTATTTTCATACATTATCAGTTAGAACAGGGTTGTCAGCATGGTTCAGAAAGTCTCTTGACTTCAAATCAGCAGATCTGCACTGTGCATTGCCTCTGCCCGCCGATAAAATTGTATAAATTGGGGAAAATCACTTAATTCTCAGCCTTGGCTTTATCATGTATGAAAATGAGTGTGTTATATCTGATAACCTCAAAGGTCCTGTGCAGCTCAGATAAACCATCATTATCTCACCCTTTACGGTTCTTCCCAGTACACACACATGATCATTTTTGCTGCCATAACTGAGTGCTTATAAAATAAACAGATATTTATTGAGAACAAATTGGGGCTTAATAAAACTGCTTCATACATACTCTGTCTGTCAGGACGGACATGACTGGCTATGGATCGCACCTGGTACTCTGGAAGAAGGAGAACAGTAAAATTAATATTATAACTCTGTAATACAGTTTGGGATGCCTGGAGAAGTCGTGTTAGTAAAATATCTTCCTATGAGAGATTATAAGAATTAAGGAAATTTTGAAACTCCTAGACCTATCATTCAGCATGAAACTCAGAAACATGGTACCCTCCACCCAGCTGGGCTAGGCCCAATGGCATTCCAATCAATAAAGACAGAATTTTGACACAGCCAGGTAAGTCAAGGAGAGGAAAGCAAAGCACCTTGAATGATATGACATCCACCTGCCCAAGAACACAGATTTTGACCTCCACAATCAAAAGGCACATGAATAAAAATAAACCACAGAGAAAATATTCCCCTATATACAAAGGCACTTTGAAATGTCCTCAACCCAATCAAGCTTAATATATTTTTCCTGAGAGAATTCCTAAAAATAGTTAATGTTTTAGCTAAATCTCTACAGTCTAACCCTATCCAGGAGTTATTTTTAGCTTCTCTCATGCAGAAAAAAAGAAGGTAAGTCTAGAAAAACACAGAAAAAACTACTATCAAGAGGACAGGGACAGAAGAAACTGGTGTTCAAAGCATACCAAATCCCATGTCAAACATGCGATCTGCTTCATCAAACACAAGGTAAGAGACTCTTTGAAGATTGGTAGCTTTCTTCTTCACATGATCAATCAGTCGACCCTACGAGATCCAGAAAATGAAAAGTGAGTATAATTAAAGGCATTTACAAAAACTTCCTAGAACTGTGCTCCTGGCAAAGGTGCCAGTATTCCGTCTTAGACTATAACAGACACTGGTCTGACAGCCTCGGACTTCATGGACTACAGAGCCCAAAAGAATAGAAGTTTGAAATCTCAATTAGATTCTTCCTTTACACTGTAATGTAAATTAGGGGAAAATGGCCAGAACTATTTTTCTGAGGTATTCTGAAATGACCTAATTTAAAACCTTATTGAGGTGTTTTAATGCTTACACTACACTCTTCTAGGCAGTTCTGACCACACTCTTTCTTGATGCTCTCAGTGACCACAGATGCATTTTCTAGGACAGCATAAGAAAAACTATTTGAAATAGAGGGGAATTCGTAGCTAATATACATATATGTCAGAATATTATTGGACTGCTATTTTAGTCAATGAATCAAAATTAAACCAAAGCCATAGACTGTCACTCAACCTTGCTTTACCACATTTTAAGGGGAATTCCTTCCAATAGCTAACTATATTTTTCTATACAAGGGTGGCGGAGGAGCCATTTAAATTTAAACCCAAGACATACTTACTGGGGTGCACACAACAATCTCTGCCCCTTCCTGAAGGGCCTTGGCCTGCTCCCACATGCTCCCTCCACCATACACAGCCACTGATCGCAGATTATATGCTTTCCCAAACCGCTTACATTCTGCATGGATCTACAAAGTTGTTGACATAATGACATATTAACAAACTGTGACACTAACAAAGACCTCTGTCACAATCCAAAAGAAAATTCTGAAAAACACACAAAATACAATGTCATAGAAAATAAAAAGCTAGAACATATTTCAAAAGTCACAATTTCATTCATAAAGTAAATAAAGAGTACCATTATCATATCTCAACAGGCTATCTAAAATTTTGTCTTGGTTATTCATTTTTTTCTTCCTGATCCTGTCAATGCCTTTCTACCAAGCAAAATGAATTAACCCAGATAGAAAACATTGGGAGCTTACAATACAAACAATTCCCATATTTTTTTCTCTTAAAATGGTAGTTTAGGAAAAAGTGTGTATTTGGTTATAGAAAATACGTAACATAATATTTGCTAAGTTTCCCCATAGCACAACAATGTGAATGTACTTAAAGCCACTGAACTGTACACATAAAAATTGTTAAAACTGTAAATTTTATGTGCATTTTACCAAAATTAAAAAAGAATTTTTCTGGTAGTTCTACCCACTTCATTGCTTAGTACCTTGCTGGCTCACATACGAAAGGAGTCATTCTACAAAAGCACATACCTGCTGGCAAAGCTCCCTAGTAGGACACACAATCACGGCAATTGGTCCATCACCTGGTTCCAATTCCTTCTGGTCCATTATATGAATCAACATGGGCCAGATAAAGGCTGCAGTTTTTCCACTGCCTGTTTTGGCAATACCAATCATGTCTCTACCGCTTAATGCCACAGGCACACCCTAGAGAAAAAAAACAGAGTATATCCACTCTCAACTTTCCATTTTAAAGATGTTCTGAAGGAAATCCTAGGGAAAGTAAGTGACTATTAATGACATTCATTTCCACTGTAACAAAAATATCCTGGGCCGTGCATACTGGCTATGGAATAACGAGAAATACCTGGCATTCTCATAACCTTCTTGATTTGTAAGAAATGTTATTATTCTCTTCATGTGGATCAGCTACCATTCACAAAATATGAATGACTTCATTTTGTTTAAAATATAGAAATAAAACATTGCAATTTATAATGTAAGTGGGTTGCTCAAGTTTTAAAAATCTTGTCCCCTTGAGAAGGTACAGACTACCCATCCACAAAAATTCTCATTTTCTGTGTAGGAGTTAATTAAATCCCACATATAAATAGGAAACAGAAGCTATTATCTTCAGTTATGAGAATTTTCAGGTCATGGACAAAGGAATTCTAGTCACCAACAGTGCTAAATTTGTCCAGACACAAATCTTTTTAATTAAGTTTAGACCCAATAAACTATTTTCTTCAGATCGTATTTTCAAGACATTTATCAGATAGAAAACATTTCCCAGCCCCTTTGGTAACTTTTTTAGTGGTAAATAATTCACTTTTGTTCTTTAATTTTTAAAGGTTTCAAAAATATTCTTGTATTTCTTAAATGTCTCCCCTCTCCCCCCCATTTATAGCAGGGTTGAAGACTAAGCTACAGGGGGAATATTCGGACCTTCTATCCATATCAGTACAGCTCTGCACTAACCACTGTTTTATTGCTTTGACTTGTTTGTAAAATCAACACAGTCATCGAATATCATTCTACTTCATTTTTCTTTCATTATGTTTTCCTTACCTGGCACTGTATTGGAGTGGGCTGTGTGTACTCAGATTTCCGAATCTGGTGCATAAGTTGTTCATCAAATCCAAAATGAGCAAAACTACTTCCTGGTCTAGGAGGTGCAGCACCAGAGACCTAGAGATAAAGACAACTCCCAGGAATGATTTGTACTTCAAAATCAACAGCACTGGAAGTTCAACAATATTTACCTACATCTAGCATTTGGCTTGAGAATGAAGTGAAAAATATAAGTCTATAGCCAAAAGCATACACTGTTTGAAAAGGTAAAATAACAGATCTAAAACCTCATATAAAAAAACTCTATGATAAATATTCGAGATAATAGTCCTAAAATAATTATAGACATTTCTTTAATCAAAATTAATTTTTTTAAGAAATAAAAAAAAATACTGTTCAACGAACTGGAAAAAGTCATTAATGTTTTTTGTTTGTTTTTACCACTGTGCATAACTATTAACCAGATGGTAGAAAAAATAAAATTTACTCTTGAAAAAAAAATGAAGAGGGCAGCAAATGAGCTCTAAATAATACATGTCTATACCCACTGATCACAAAGATATTATCTACCATCTCCATTTTTAGTCATGCCTGGAGAGTTAATGCCTCACTTAGTGATGGTCCAGCCACTGTCATGCACTGTTCTGAACTGTACCCAGGTGAAAAACGAGGCTTATAAATCCTACATTGACTCCAACAGTAACCTTTCAATGCTTCTCCAATGATGCTGATATTTCCAATCAGGATTTCACTTAAAAGGTTTTTTTTATTTGGAGGAGTGGGTGGTACCTCTTGGAAAATAGACAAGTATACACAC